CCTCCTGATCTCAGCCTCCCGAGTGCCTAGGATTACAGGAGTGAGTCATTGGTGCCTGGCTCTTCTGACCTTCCTGCCTCCCTCTTGACATACAAGGGCTCTCTGATTACATTGGGCCACCCAGATAATACAGGGCTGTCTCCCCGCCTCCAGATCAGTTTATTAGCATCCTTGAGTCTGTCCTCTGCCTGTAACCTAAAACAGTCACGGGGGCTAGTCATCAGGACATGACTTCTTTGGGGTAATGAATAAATAAAAGCCCCCCCAGGCCTCTGCCACCCACATTCTGCTGCACCCTGGCTCCTTCGAGGTCCCACCCCTCTGTCAAGCTGATCTGCTTGCTCTCCATATAAAGTGATGGAAATATTAAAATAGATTTTGAGCCCCTGCCAGCTCTTTCTGCTACTCTGATAAGTTTGTGGCTCGGACATCAACACAGAGTTAGAAGTCCATCCAGGGACAAGCTTCTATCATGCCCCCTACAAGTTCCAGTAATTTGTAACTATTTATATTTATATAATAGAAAAACACACTCCAGAAATCCTCCCCACAGAGCCTCACTCTCCTACTTTTAGTCCTCCACCCCAGCTCATGGAGCTGCACCCCTCAAAGCTCCAACAAGGGCTTGAAACAAAGATCCTGGGGGCTCAGTGGTCCTGCAGCCCAGAAGGTGCAGGGATGCATCAGTAGGAACAGAGAATCTGAGATAGACATCGGAGGTTAGGACCAACTCAGGGTTGAGTTGAACAGCTCAATCCAGAGGAAAACGGTTTTGTTTGATCTTGTTTTGTTTTGGAGGTACTGGGGTTTGATCTCAGGGCCTTGTGTTGGCTGGGCAGCTACTCCTTGAGCCATGCTCCCAGCCCTTTTTGCTCTGGGTATTTTTTGAATAGAGTCTCACATTTTTTGACAGGGCTGGCCTGCACCACAATTCTCCTTTTTGCTTCCTGGTAACCAGGATGACAGACATGTGCCACTGTGCTCAGCTTTTATTGACTGAGATGAGCTCCCCAAAACTTTTTTTGCCTGGACTGGCGTGGAACTTCAGTCCTCTGCATCTCCACCTCCTGAATACTTCCTAAGACCCACACACGCGATCTAATAAGAAGGTTCTGGCAGCTGCTCAGGGCTGAGCTGCAATTATTTGTCTTACTAGGAATTGTGGGGAGGGGAGGGAGGAGCTAAGGGAGGGAGGAGCTAGTGGAAAGAGAAAAGACAGACTGGCTATAAAGTCTGCACATTTTCCCCCAGGGTGGTTGTGGAAGGCATGCCCCACACTGGCCATTTCACCCATCCTGAGTCTTCCACCATCTACAGAAATGGGAGTGTGATGCCCATTCTACAGATGAAGACATCGAGGTTCAGAGTGGTAATGAACCCAACCTAAGGGCACGTAAGCAGGGAGTGGCAGAGACAGGATCCAACCCAGACCCAACCCAGAGGCCACGACATAGGCCAACACAAGAAGTTGGATGAGCTCATGAGAAACCCATGCACCAGAGCACAGGTAGAGACTACTGCAACATCTCCCTTCCTGGGCTTTTTTTTTTTTTTTTTTGAGACGGGTCTCACCATTTTGCCCAGACTGGCCTTGAACTCACCATTCTCCTGCTTTAGCCTCCCGAGTGCTGGGATTATGGGCAAGCGCCAGCATGTCCGTCTCCCTGGACAGTTTTTGCAAGCGCGTCACTAATCATTGCTTGTTTGATGTGGGTTTGGCGTGTTCTCCTCTAAGCCAGAGGCCCAGCAAGATGGCACTTAGAGTCCCTGTAAATTTCTCAGAGTCAGTGCCCTAAAGATTAAGTGTCTCATTGTTTCTAGAACGTTTACAAGCCTTGGGAGCTACCCCACGCTAAGTGATTAGCAGAGGCAGGTGGATTGTAGAAATGGCTGTTCATACAAGTTCAAATCTGGGTGCCAATACTGGTTTAGAACCCGTTTGGAACCCCTGGGCTTTCCCAGAAACAAAACAGGGAGGTTGAGAGTGTCTGCTCCAGGCTCCCCAGCAGCTGGTACCACTAAGGTGTCATGATGGTTCATTCACAGCTCTGCCCTTCCAGACTCTGGGGTCCCCGAGTTCACCTTAGCGCCCAAACCCCTCACACCAGCAGTGACAGCACGCAAGCATAACAAGAACCGTGTGCCCTGTAGGCTGCTGGAGCTGACCTCGTTTGCAGGAATTCTGCAAGCCATCGTTAAATTATTGGTGGCTTGAAATTGGCAGCATGAGAAGGTTTACGCTATGGAAACTGGCACCTTCCCGCCTTTCCAGAGACCCTGTGTCACAGCTACACTGGGCGACCCTGTTTTTAGCACTTTGCATATATGAACGTCACGTAACCGTCACCACCACCCAGTCAGGAAAGACACTGTAGCTATTGCCATTTTACAGGTGGGAAAACTGAGGCTCAGGGAGGTGGGAGCACAGAATGAAGACCCACCTCACCTTCCCTAGGCCCAGCTGCCCTGTGGCACCCCAGGTACCAGCCAGGCGAATTGTGCTGGTGCCAAGACAAATGGAGATATTTTCAGCCACTGTTTTAAATTATTTTCTCCAGGGGGGTGGCCCTCTGGGGACCAGAGGCAGTTGCCTGGTGACTAACATTTTGCCCAGTTCTCCAAAGGTCGCCCTGTGTTATGGGAGGATGAAGCTCCCCCCGGGCTCCAGATGACAAATCCGTCAGCATGCCAGAGCTGCTCTGGCCTGTTGGCGTCAGCAGAGCCACTGGTAGGACTGAATGGAAGCTGTGACATCCTGGAACAGGCGGCAGCAGGCTTTGTGTGGAGGGAGCCCTGCCTGGTGAGCGTGCCCTCTGTGCATCACTGGCCATGCGGAGCTCAGCTTAAGGGAAGACAGAACTCTGGGGGAGCTTAAACAATCCAGATTTCTTCAGGCTTCCTGAGAGCCCACACCACACCAGCCTCCTTTACCTCTCTGTCCCTCTGGTGTGTGTGTGTCACTCCACTAGGAGTTCTTTGGGAGTGAAGGTGATGTCTAAATCCTGTTTGTGGCTTCAGGACCCAGTCAGGGTTCTGGACATAGCAGACCCTCAATGCACAAATTGAGGTGGGCTTCCCCTTCTTTCTGTGCCCACAGGAACTCCTGACCATTTATCCAAGGTTGGTCATCCCACCATAGCCTTCCTCCCTCCCAGCTCCCTGGCTGCTGGCCAGGATGGCAAAGACTGTGAATGAAGACCCTGCAATGGCCTCTCTGAGGGATCATGTCACACAGAGATCAGGAGGAGGGCGGGGGGGCACGGAGGGGTCCAGGCCAAAGGAGCAAGCGCAGGTGCTTGTCTGGGAGCTCACAGCAGCCAGCTGTCAAATGTAGACAGTCAGTGTAGACAGTGGATGGAGTACAGACCTCTGCTCCCTTGGTGACATCAGCAGAGGGCAGAGTGGAGCCAAGCGTCCATCTCACTGTACAGGGCTTTTATCCTTCAGGCCCCAGCTCTGAGGGTACTGTGTGTGGGTATGGGGGTGTAGTATGCACACCCAATACAGAAAGCCTGGTGGCAAATTGCTCAATAAAACACAATCCCAGGAACTGACATTATAAATTGAAACAAAACTGTGCCCAGCAATGGTGGGTAATAGTTCAGGGACTCCCAGGGGCCTGGGAACCCCTTTCTTGACTCTGCCCCTCAACACCCAGGTCTGTATGGGTTTCTAGAAGTCTTCTGGCCCAAATGCCAGCTCCAGGTCCATTGCCCAGCCTGCTCAACCTGCTGATGCACCATGGCCAAGTTTCCCCAGCCTGGTGGGGGCTCAGCGCCCACCCCTCCCCAGTATGGTAGATTTCAGGTGGTGGTGTGTGTGGTGGAGAGGGCTCCATTTTCAGCCAGGTGGGGGCTGACCTTGTGGCTCCCTAGCACGACAGAGCCGTGCCCTCCCAGGTGCCTGTCTGGCAGTACCAAAGGGCCGGTGTCCCCAACAGAGCATTAATGCCTGAGCTCCATGCCTAGCACAGATGCTGAGTTCCCCATGGCGGTCATTGGCAAGTCACCAAGCACTGTAAAGCACAATGACCTGACCTGACCCCTCAACAGGTAAGTATTGACTTTGAATTTCTGCTCAGGCTCTGTGACTTTCAGGAGCGTCAGTCCCTCCCGTGCAAGGACCACTAGCCTCTGCCACCTTGCTCTGTGTCCATGCTCTGCCCCGTGGTGGCATGCTTACTTTTATCTTCATTTTAAGGAGGAGGGATCATGGTTGGACAGGTAGCAGGACTAGGCTGAGTCATCCTGTGTGGATGCAGAGTGGCACCTTTAAACGGTCTCATCCCAGAAGCTCCCACAGGGGGCCTGCGGACCACCTGCGTGCCACTCTCCGGTTTTGCTAAAACGCAGCCACCTAGGGTGGGAGCCCGACTCTCGACGGGTGGGTGGAGCTCCCCACTCCCAAAGTTTGAGACGCCTCTCAGCCTCTGGGATGCACGGAACCTTTAGAGTTGTCACCTGGGCGCGTTCACTGCACTAGGGCGCTGGGATAGGGACTTCTGGAAAAACCAAGCAACGCACAGGATGTGTGTTCAAACTGGATTATCATTACTGTGGTTCTCCATAGAGCTGTTTCCTGCTCGCCGACCTCCTTCTCGGTCCCGGTGGGGTTTGGCTCCTGAGAGATCTGGAAGGATGGGCGGTGGGATGGGGAGGGGGACAGACCGGGTGGGCGTGGAACCTGCCAGGGGTCTGGTGACTCCTACCCTCCCCGCAACTTTGCTTACTTCGGCTTCTTTCCACTTCCCCGGGGATGCGCCAGGGGCGTGGTCTCCGCGGCGGGGACCGCGTTACCCAGGCAGTGGGCTCGCAGGGGACCCTCCGCATCCTGGGGATCGTTTCCTCCTCACCCCTCCCCTTTCTCCCCTCCTCTCTCCTCCGCCCTTCCCCCCTCCCCGCGCCGCCCCGCCCCGCCCCGCCCCGCCCGCCCCGCCCGCAGCGCGTGAAGCCGGCGCGCGCTAGGACCGCGCACCGCCAGCCGCCGCTATAAGAGGCCGCGCTCGGGCCCCACGCGGAACCCGCGGCTCGGAGCGGTCCCGGTCCCCGAGCGCCTGGGACCCGACAGCCGGGCCTGCCGCGCGCACCATGGGCGCTGCCCACTCCGCCTCCGAGGAGGTGCGGGAGCTCGAGGGCAAGACCGGCTGTGAGTACCGCGGTGGCCCGGGGACCGGCGGGGACGCCCGGCTTCGCGCCGCCGCGCTGTGTGACCTTGGGCTGGTGTCTGGCCCTCTCTGCGCCTCAGTCTCCGCCTCCTCCAAATGGGTCCCCGCCGGCCACGCAGCGGGCTGCGGCGAGGCGCGGGCGCGATGCTTTAGGGGCGGTGGCCACGCAGCACCGGAGTTGGTGGGGACTCCGGGCTGGGGGCGACCCGGTGACACCCGGGAGGGCCGGGCAGGTGCCCCGGGCGCGGAGGTCGAGAGCCCCGCCGGCCTGGCGTGCGCGCCCCGCCACCTGCAAGCGTTGGGTTCGCGGTGCGCTGGGGACGAAAGTTTTGAAGTCGCCGGACGCGGTGGGAGTGGGGAGCGCGCGCTCCCCGCATGTGACCTCGGGCGGCCTGGGTCCCCATCGGCGTCCGCAGAGCGCTTTGTCCCCAGCGTCCCGACTCCTGGGGACTCCCGGGACCGCAGAGGCTGCGCTCGCATCCGGCCCGGGCGGGGCGCGCGGGAGCCCGGGTTGCGCGTGGGGCCGAGCTGCCCGCAGGGAAGTGACGGAGTCCAGCGGCCTGGGAACTTGACCCTGGGCTGACCTGGGGCGCCGGGTTCCGTCGCCCTCTCGGAAGTGGGGTGTGGACGGAAGACCTCGTTGCGAGGCCCGGCAGGTGGTGATGGGCAAACCGGGTTCCACACTGGCTGTGTGACCTTGGGCCAGTCACTTTACCTCTCTGACTCTCAGTTTTCCTTCTCTGTGGAATGGCAGTTCTGTTGGTATCTGGGAGGTGTCTAAAATGAGAGCTGTAGGCATTGCTGGGAAGAAGCGGGCGGCTGCTGGCACCGGCTTTCAGTTCAGAGTGGGGACCCAGAGTCCACCGAAAAGCAGAAGCGACCTCGCCTGACACCTCCCACCCCCATCTACACATCCCGCTCTAGAACTGGGGGACATTACAGAAAACCCTTAAAACTGGTGTGCACACGCACCCGTACATATACCTATGTGCTCCTATCTCTCTGGGTATAAATATAGAATTATCTCTAACTAGAGAAAAAAGGTGCGGCAGTGTTTACATAACCTAGAACCTGTTTTGTTAAGAGAATTGTGTACTTCCTTTGTATTAAACCCTGCAAGGACCCACAATCGTGTAAGAATAATGGACACTTGGGGTATTTAGTGGGAAGGATGAAGCTGGAGTCAGCTTTTTCACTGTAAACGTTTTTATAGTCTCATCTTGAACAATGTGGCTATTTTATTCAAAAAAACTTTTATGAACTTGAACTCTAAGGCTAATGGGAGGAGGAGGAAAGAAGGGGTCCCCCCTGCCCCTTCTCAGTTTCAGGTTTTCATTTTTTTTCCAGGGCCCTCTGCAGATGTAAGTGTGGTTCTTTGCAGCTGGGATTCTGCTGGGGGGCAGGCTCCGGGCCAGCCCCCACCCTCAGGCGGCCCCCAGGGCATGCTGGGGGAATTCCACCTGGCTGTGGGTTTCACAGATAGGCCACAGAGCATGCTGGGAGTCTTGTTAGTTTCCTGGGTCCAACCTCCCACGGTGACAGATGCTGTGTTCAGGCTCAGTAGCTTTTCTAGATGTGACTGGGTGGCTTCCCTTCTAGCTGCCTGGAGCTCAGATTTCAAGCCCCAAGGGGGAAGAGTGAGTAAGAGGACCCAGGAGATAAGGAGGTTAGATTCAAGGGGAGAATGGACAGACGCCCTCAGTTCTCTGGACTCTAGGTAGCTGGTACACTCTGGGCACTTTTACCCATTTTAAGTATTTATGGATCTAGGTTTGGGGACTTAGAGGTGACCAAGAGAGGCCAACGTTCCTGAGGATGACACACAATAAACAGATCAACCCACGGTTGTTAAACTCAGTGAAGATACAACAGGGGTGGGGATGGGAAACACATCTTTTTTAGGCTGGATACCAGAGTAGATACCAAGAAAGGAGTCAGCCATCTGTGGTGTTTTGGGCAGAGGGGACCACAAAGTGCAAAGGCCCTGTGGCAAGAAAAAGTTGGCAACAGTCATTGAGAACTGTAGGTAGATAAGTGACAAGGCAGTTCTGGCGGCTTACGTTGTCATAGGAACCTGAAAGGCTCTTGCTTGATATGTGTCCTTGTGCAAGCCTCTTATGCTAACCGTGGCTCAGTTTCCCCTACTGAAAATTAGTAGTGGTAGCACCTTCCTAGGAGGTGTTGGGATGGATTAAGAAAGCTGATATTGTGTATCTACCTCTCAGGACAAACTCAAGTGTTTGCTGTTGACCATGCACTAAACACAACTGTATGCCCTGCTGTTTGTTGAATCTCACTCCTCCTTCCCATCTATGTGACCTTGAGCAAGTCATTTTGCCTCTCTGAGCCCCAGTCCCCCAACCTGGGAGCCTGAGGAGCAGTGCTTATTCAATGAGATTGTGTTTGTGTGTATGTGAACACTGGACCTAGCTCCCCCTCCCTCCTCAAGAACCCATAGGAAGCATCTGAGAAGGAAGGAGAGAAGCTCAGGCCAGGGCGGCTTGCTCCACACTGAGCACTTTGCCAGAATGCTCACTGAATCTTTTGTCAAAATCCTGCAGGGAAGGTGGTAATGAAGAAACTGAGGTTCAGAGAGGTAGAGCAACTTGCTTGCAGTCCCACAGCAGATAGGTGAGGAGTAGGGATGGGACAGTTTGGTTGCCTGTCAGACTTTCAGGAACCCAGAAGTGGTAGGAAAAGCCTGTGTTTTGTCTCACCTCCAGGCCTTTGCACAGGCTCTCTCCTCTTCCTGGAGAACTCTTTCCTGTAGTGCTTTATTTTTTGATAGTACTGAGATTTGAACTTGGGGCTTCACACTTGCACTTTGCATTTTCATGCCCACAGCTCTGTGTTACATATGAGAGCCCCTCTGCTTCCCCCCCTCCCCCATCTCCACCCGAGTTCGGATTTCAAATCTTTCCCCTTAGCTCTGTCTCTGCACAAAACTAATGCTCGTCACTGTTCTGGGCTCAGCTCAGCAGTTGCTCCCTTCCAGAAGGCCATCAGTGGCCACTCTCCATCCAGCCTTGGTGGGCTGGTGCCTGTCCTCCGGCTTCCCATAGCTCCTGCATCCCCTCCCATCAAGGAAGGCATCACACCATTTTATAATCGTCAGCTCTTTCCCCTGCCACCCCCTCAAAAACTGGAGCTCCTTGTGAGCAGAGAGAAGGCCTCTCATTCACCTCGTTAGGTGTGCTTCCTGAGTGGAGAGGGAAGACAGGCGGCTCACAGGGCAGGGGATGAGGTTGCTGGCCACATTGCAACCCACGTGGCATCATCGCCCAGTAGAAAACCAAGGGCCGTCCTCACCAGCCAACCACCCACCCAGCATCTCCTGTTCCCTCTCCCTAGCCTGGACCACTCAGCCTCAGCACCCATCCACCCCCACCAAAAATAGGCCTGAACAGGAGCTCGCCCACGCAGGGCATCGCCAGGCTGCACGCCCACCTCCTCCTCCTCCCAGCCTGCAAGCATGTCGCTGATTGATTTATAACACAAACAGACATCTCTCCCTTTCTAGATTGCGTACCAAAACCCTGGCAGCAAGGCACCCTGCACAGGGCTGTGCTCTGAGCCTGCCCTTCCCACGCAGGAGTGGAGTCCACCAGCTGTGTGTGCCAAGGGGAGGGAGGAGAGGTTCCCAGGGATCAGCCTTGCCTTGAAGTGGCCCCCGTTTTTTCCCTCCCAGTCCCCGAGGCTCCTGGACCCCCAAAGGAAAGGTGGAAGGCGTGTTCCCCTCAGAATCTGCAACAGCTTGCAGCCCTGTGTGTGTGGATGCCAAGAAGCTGCCAGAAGGAAAAAGAATAAACAAATCTCCAGACCCAAGCTCAGTCAGACCTCTTGATGGGGAGAGCTAATGTTTATTGGTGTTTGTCAAGGCCAGATGCAGAGCTGAGCCAGGCAGTTTCTCTGCAGTGGCTCATGGAACCTTCCCAGCAGCTCTGTTGGTGGCCCATTTTACAGACTAGGAAATCAAGGATCCAGAGAGGAAGCAGCTACCCAGGGCCCTAGGCGAATGAGGATCAGAGTTGGGACCCTGCCTTCGTGTGGGGAGGAAGCAGAGGAAGGGAGGGCTGTGGGGCCAAGCTCACGTGGTGGGTGTGACCCACTGCTAGGGGGTGACTCCTTGTGTCATTGTGTGAGTGGCCCCAGACCATTGGCACATGCTATATTCCTACTGTTGTCCAGACACTGGATGGTGGGATCAGGAGTCTCTGCCCTCAGGACGTCCAGAGGCTGAAGGTGGGGGTTGCAGAGTGGAGGCTCTGATAGGGTGGGAGACTGTGGCTGGCACCACTTTTGTTGAAGCAAAGCAGTCACCAGCCAAACTCACTGGCTCCTTTCTGTTCCCCTGAGGCAGCTGTGGCTTTTAACCTGGGATCCTCCAAAGTCATGAACCCCACGAAATGGCTGGTCTCTAATGAGACCCCTCTGTTCTCATCAGGCTCTCAAAATGGTGACAGTGTATGCAACTCAAGATCATCAGTCACTTTTGTTTCTTGAGACAGGATCTCACTATGAAGCCCAGGCTGGCCTTGAACTCACAATCCTCATTTTCAACCTCTCGAGTGCTGGGATTACAGGCGTGAACCACCACACCTGGCTAGCAGTCACTTTTTTCTTCTTAAAGAAAAATGACAAATGGCTTCTTGGCAAAGGAGGACAAACTTGGTGAGGGCTGGGAGGATCCATCCTTCAGGCTGAGCTCTCAGAGCATGCCCCGGGTGTGTGGGGATGGTGAGGGGTGGGTGGGTGGGGACAGTGGCCCTGGAGCCATTGGCATGGCCATCAAAATCCCAGAGAGATGCCCTGGTGACCCCAGCTTCCAGAACCCAGGCCTCTCTCCTTCCATCCTGTGTGCTCACAACTGGGAAATGTTGCAAGGTCCGAGCAAGTGAACTGAACTGGGGACACCCAGGAGCACCCCCTGCTGTGGCCCACGCTAATAGTTTTCAGTCTATCCAGTTGGGCCCTGTGACCT